CAGCCGGGGATCCACTTGCGGTCCGTCCGGCACGGCTCACGAATCGTGTAGGGCTACAGATATGACATCACGATGTGGATAGCCATAGGATGGTAGCGCCATTCTAGTCCGGCCGAGAATTTTATTCAACGACTTTCCAAATCGATTTTTCCCATGATATGGGACCAACGGGCAATCGCTGTGCCTGGGTGACCCCGAAGCAGGGGCGTTCCGTTCTAATCGGGTGTCCACTGTCCGCAGACTTTACCTGATACCGTCTTCAGCCGATGCGATCGATATTCCAATAACAGAAATTGGTCTTTTTCTAGGGTGGCATCTCTATGCGACTTTCTCTTTTTTTCCTCATGCCAAGTTGCTGGTTGTAGAAGTCAGCCTATGTCATGTCAGCTTATAGTCTCCACGGAATGGTACCGCTCAAGCTGATAAGGTCATGAGTATTCTTATCAGCGCCAAATAAGCCAGCTGGATCAACCATGCGCGTCTTCGACAACTTTGTTGACCGTATCTGCATTCTGTCAAGGGCTTGGGTATTGATGCTGTGGTGATGGGGTCAGACCTATGTGAAATAATTCCCAGTCCGATCAACAGGTTGGGTGGACCAGCTGCACAACTCTTGTTGTCCATCCTTTGCTATTGTTCCAGTATTATCAATAGTGCAAAGGTCGAGCAAAAAGATACGGGGTCGCAGGAAGCACAGTTATCCCTCCGCACGCATTACAAAATCTGCTGCGTTCATACCCCCATGGTCCATACGGAATATCACCCACAGGTTCTGGGTCTTCCACGGGGTATGCGTCGATAGCAATCTCAGGCTGTGGAATTTGCAGACTCTCCGCATCAGGACCTCCAGGCTTGCTCACCCTTGCTGTCAGAACAGGCCCGAATACTCCTGATGAGACGTCAGGTGACGGGACACTGACCAGATTTGCTAACTTTGGGATCCCCCATGCCCCTTTCGATGTTGTGCGGTGTACTCGCTTGGTCCAGATTTGCACGGAATTGGCTCAGACACGGAGAAACTATCACGCTGGCAGATACTGAACCATTGTACTGGAATTTAGAAAGGAAAAGATTCATTAGACTCAAGGATGGCCAAGCATAATTTGCAATTTTCTCTTCGTATGGCGGATGTATACCTACTTGACAAACTTGTATGACCCATTTGAGTTTCCGATCAATACTGCAATGCTATGATTGGTTCCAGGCAACGACCCTTTGAAAATCGGACTGGCATGCGCTGACTTTCTCGTCAGCAGAGGTGCGAATACTGTGATTATCGCATTTGCTGCACGCACTGTGCCTTCGGTGCGAGAGTCTGAGCGAGCTTAGTGTGTTCCACTCAACCCTGGACATCCGGACCCGGAGTGGGTCGACCGGACTCGTCCGACTTAGTGGATGACTCTCAAGGCCTTTGCGGTGTCTGGTCGGTAATTCGGTCTGATGCCCCTTTACGAAGTCGCATAGATGAGAAGAAGGCTCGCCAAGACGGCTACAGTCACGGAGATGGCAGCCAATAGTTCAGCCACGGAATCGGTGGATCTCCACCATATCTCAAACGCAGTTGGGATGAAGGCTTGTAGTCTTTGTTGAGGTACAGCTTTTCGGTGCTTGTGAACGAGCTGCGAAATGTGTGCCTTCTTGTCGCGGATCTCGACGACGAGTTTGTGAAGCATGCCGCCGCTGCGTTGAACGACATACAATGTCTGATTGTCGGCGGTGTATGACCAGTCGAGTCCATGGGTGGCAGTCACATGGATCTGATGTCCACGATAGTGGTAGCTCGGTATGAAAATTTCTGTCGTTGAATGTCTGTCCTCGCCAGCCTTGAGCTTTTTGAGTGGCCGATTCCGCCACTGGAATTCGAAGCGCAAAGTTTCCTGATTCCAGTCTGAAGATACTGGCAGTCCGGCGACTTTCACCGCGTAGGGCCTGATCACAGAATCTATTGCTCTGCCTCCCCGATAGAGTTCCTGCTTTTCGTGATCGCTATTTCGATAGTCCGGTCGAACTTGCATTTTACGTCCATGCCCATCGTCCCATGTTTCCTCATTTCCATTCACAACAGAGAAATCTTCCTTGTTCCAACCATCACCATATTCGACGCGGTTATCTGGATTATAGTTCCAGAGTGTGAAGCCATTCACAAGATTGTCTTCCATGGCACTGATGAGCGCACCGACGAGGTCACGTTGCTTATCATAATCGCCCGTGAGAAAGGCGTAGCCACCATTAATGTCAAAAGGTATGCCGATTTCTCCGATCACAGTCGGTAGACGCCCGAGAGAAAGACGACCGTGTTTGACTATATTGCCAATTTGCTTGCGGTAGTTTCTTCGCAGCCCCCCAACACCAAAGTAGACTGCGTTGCCCACAAACATGCCTCGTGCAAGACCTTGCACGTTTACGCTCATCCAGGAATGCAGTTTACTGAAAAGAACGTTGAGGTCGTAAAAGTGTGGTGCATATACCAGATTCTGGGGACGATGGTCGGATGAGAGCACAGTTGGGACAGCGTATGATTGCTTTTTGCGGACCACGATCCCTTTGTTTTCATATCGTGGGGGCCATGGAGGTATGAACTCATTCGGGATCGGCTCGACAAAAGAAAATTGAGTACTCCTGATCCGGGAGACGCGCTGGGAGAAACGACGGAGGAATGGGGCATAGCAATCACGGTACCATTCGATCTCCCTGCCTTGTCGACCTGGTCGGTGGTCAAGCTCGAAATAGCTTTCGTCGGTAATCACTGGCTTGCTTTGTTCGCTGTCCCAATCCCAAACTCTATGTGCGCGCCAAACACATTGACCGAGTCCTTGTGGCCTGTCCACTGCACCGGTAGAGCTACTGCTCAACCAAGCGGATCGCCCTTGAGGGTCCACAGTAGTGTGATGCGACACCCGAGTTGGCCACGGCCAAGACTTGACATAGTAAGGTACAGTCTGTTTGTAGCCGCTACCAAGTGCAAGTGCTTGAGTCAGGTTGGGATAGTATCCGATATGGAGATCTGTGTCGTAATTCCAACCATGAAAACCATGTAAGTTGACCAGGCCTCGATGTGGTTCATTCATGGGCTCGAAACCGATCACAGCCTCCAAGTCCACAATCTCGTCTGCCAGTCGCCCGAAAGCTTCAATGAATGCATCCTGAAGAAACGCTTGCACGGAGACCTCTTCCACTCCTCCCTTGTTGTCGAGGGTTGAACGGAGACATCGCAATTTCGGGGCCAAAGCATCGCCAGCCCAAAAGATTGTGGCCATCGTGGAAGCCGCCAGCTTTTGGTATCCCGAGGGCCATACAAACGGGCCACTGGGCTCCTTCTCATTACCAGGCGCCTGCGCCCGTCTCAATTCATCCTGGCCGTGAACATATGCAGCGCCAGTCTCGGTGAAGGCCTCGATATCTAGGCCAACTGCCTCGAATGTCCATCCCGGAGCCCCGCTGCCACCGCTGAAGCGGCTCCAGACGTCCTGATGAGCACAGACGAAGCACTTGATACCGTATCGTGGCATCAACTCGATAAGCTTGCGGAGATAGGCGATGTACTCCAAATCGAGATCCTTGCTTGGGTTCGGACCCGCATGCCCAATAGATTCCCACGTAACAAGAAGACGGACAAACGGCATGCCCCACGCCTGGAGGCGGCGGAAGTGGAGGGGAGCCTCCTCAAGCGGAAAAGGCCGGCCGACAAAAGTCACGGTGCGGTGCTCATAGAATCCTTCCGTGAGGTGGGACAGGCCATTTGGCTCAGTAGGCAGTTTCGAGGCGCCGGATACGTTCCAGCCCCGCAACATGACGGTGCGACCGAAGCCGTCGACGAAATGGCCATCGTCGATGCGGAGAGGGCCACCTAGGGCCGCGTCGGAGAGATCAGCAGCTGCGTATGTCTGCATAGCTTCTGGCGCGATAATAACATACTCGTTGATTTGTTGCAACGGGTGAAAGTGGTAGTTATTTGAAACGAGATCTGGACTTTCTGGGCGACACGCAAGCCTCATTAGTCCCCACTTTTTCGGCTGAGCCCAGAACACCGACGCCGTGATCATGTCATTTTCCGATAAGCTCACCAATGCTTCACTTACCACACTCCCTTAAATAACAGATTAATATCAACCTGACTTACAGTATTCTCGCCTTGAGGTGTTCTTGAGTCTAATAATACAAGCTTCTGAGATTGCATGTTTGGCCACTAATTCAGCCCGGTTCCAATAAAGCCCGAAGAGCAATTAACATTTCTTCAATGTAAAAATGCATATTACCAGAGCCTGTTTCGTTAATTCGAGAATTACCAAGTCATTGTATCGGTTTCTCTACAGGTGTGTATAAAACGAATTATACTGCATAATATTCCCTTTCAATAGCCTATTTCCTGGAATTGGGTCAATCTTCAAGAGTTGGCGTACTTATTTTTCTTTGCAAAACATACCCAAAAGAGACCGAGAATCACAGAATTTTAGTCAAGAAACAACGGACACCACGCGAATGCAATGGAAAAAACTAGATAAGGAGAGAAAGGAATAAAGTAATGCAAGCTCGTATGGCTTTGGAAGCCTGACTTCTCTCCGAATTGGCTTCCGAAGTGATGGCTTGGGATATCTTCTTTTCGCGAGATGCCTCTGTACACTCGCCTTTCTTCTTCGCCCGAGCGCGCTTCTTAGTGACAGACCTTGCAACATCTTTTTAAATCACCTCGAGCGCTTGTCCAAAGAGACGAAGATGCTAACGCAAAGATCTGCATTTAAAGCTTGGAGTAGCCAATAGCAAGCAGCCATGATCGCCGAATATAATTGCCCAATGATAAAACGTAGCTTATTAAAAGCAATTTTCATTCACAGTTCATACTTGCATGCAATATTTAGATATATGCCCTTTATACGTGATCCACATCTAAAGGCCGCTCACATTGAAGTCCACTTAGTCTCGAGTAATTATCGTGGCCAACCTAGGTAAATCTTGCACCTTCATAATGGATTTTAAGCGCTGTTTGTTTTAACAACAGCTAAGGCAACTTGCCAGAGTGGTTAATGGGTGAGACTCGAAATCTCATGGCTTCGGTCGCGTAGGGTAAGCTATGACAGGATATCTTTCATATAATGCATAATGTGCTAATTATCGGTTCAGTTCGAATCCTGCAGTTGTCGAAAACTCTTTTTTTTTTTTTTTTTTTTTTTTTCTTCAAATTTTCATTTTGGCATACTTATGGAATTCATGGCAATTCAAAGCTCTCCCTCTTTTCATTTCTGCATGAATTTGGTGAATATGAAGAGATGGGTTAAGGTCAGCATACTCGTCTTCCTGTCTTCGTTAAATCCTAGGAAGCATGCAGTTAATACCCATTATACGCTGTCCAAAATGCTCTCTGATATAAAAATGCTTGTATGAGTCGAGAAATACACGTATAAAAGGGCTATTGTGATTCGGGATCGTCGCATCTGAGACGAAAGACGAGGCTTTTGTTTCCGTTTCCTTGCAGTAATCAACTGAAGACTACTTCTACTGATTCAGATGAAGCAGTATGTGACATATGATTCGGCCCATGCATCAGTTGTCGTTTTTTGCGCTCTTTCATCATTCTTAATGGCTTGGTCTGTGTGTTTTTGCCTCATGATTGTCCTGGCATCGTGTATTATTAAACCGATGGTGCCTCTTCCGAAGTCGAGGCGTGTAGTGAGGGCCACAATGGTGAAAAAAAGAAGGCAGTCATCACTAAGGGAAGGAGCAAACGCAGCCCGAGGCAATCGCCGTTCTGCAATGCCGTGACCAAGAGAGTGTCTGTAAATGGAATTGTCGGGTATCATATTCATTAATTACCATAACGCCTTACGTGCTTCTGTCAGAGCATGACTGTCCCGGCCAGTGTGCGGCAACTCTGCGCCCATTCTCCAGTTGTTGGGAATATCCTGGTAAAAGGAGCCCAAGCACTCCTTCGATCTCTTGAGGCGTGCGTGGCCAGGACCACGAGGCCCGATAGCTCGAAAACCCCCAACATGCTTTCACCAAATGGCAAGCCTCTTCCATCTCAATAACCAGGGCGCAAATGGTATGCAAGACTTTAGGAAATCACCTAAAGATCCTACGACCGCCAGCTCTCGCAGCAAACCTCTCCGTTCCATTGGTGGTCTGTTGACTCCATGACAAGGTGTTTCCACCAGACCCCCCTGTAGCCCCGGATCTCTTCCACCTTCTATAAGCCTCTGCGAAGTGTTCTGGAAGCAGGGGAGCCTGTCTTCGATGTCTCGACTGTTCGCTGATCTCGTCCTCGTTCTCCTTATCATCTGGTAGGTCGGTCTGCTTTACACCTGCTCTGATCTCTTCTTGCTGCACTTTTCTCGCCTCCTCGACCATGTCACCCAAGAACAGCTTGCACACAACCTGCATGGCCTGAGGAATATTGGCAGCAACTGACTGTGATGTGACGGAGTTGATATACTGCAGTTTATCATGAGTTCCACAGTCTTGTACAGGAGTGCCGAGCCAAAGCTCTTACCTTTCGGATGTTACCGATTTGTATTTTGGACTGATGCCAAACTTCATAACGGTGGAATTGATTGTCGTCCATCTTTTGTTTCAGTAGAGCACGAAGACGTTCTTCCTCCTTGATTTCCTCTTTACTTCGCGCAGCTGCTCGACTGGCCATGTTCTCGGGTACCTCATATCCTCCAGGACCTTCTCCCGCATCTGCGTCATCGTCTGCGGCAAGCTTATTGGCACCGCTGGCATTGCTGATGACACTAGGAGCAGCCCCATTGACAGCACTTGGTGTACCTCCTCTTGCGGCCTCTTCAGCGGCCTCTCTTGCACGCTCTGCCTTTGATTTACGGCCGCGCTTCTTCTTCGGTGCAGCGCTGACCTGACTACCGCTGACGAGACTCATATTATCAACACTTGGGGAACGTCGATAATTGGGCGAGTATTGGCCTTGAGACTCCTCTGGTGGAAAAGAAGTCTGCCGAAGAGGATGTGCCGAAGCGGCTGACGCCGCCGACATGATCGAAGTCTTTCGTCGCTTTATGGAAGGATTGTTGGCCCCAATGTCATTCGAGCTCGAACTGCGTTTCTTCGACGCAGGCAGCGACGCATTGGAATATGGCGGAGAGCCCGCTGGCGAATGAGCAGGTGGAGGCGACGCCATGGTGAGTATCGCACGTTGGTAGATCTCGTCGCGTCTTTCGTCGAAGTAATGTCTGAGGCTGCCTTTCGTAGTTCTCGTAGTGGGATGTGTTGAAGGAGAATGGAAGTGATGGCGACCGCGAAGTGCTACTTCAATCTTGAGCCGCGCGGTACTGGTATTCAAAAGGCGGCTCGCCTCGTCGCGTTGATTCAGGATCACGAAGTACCTTGTTTGTCAGGTATCGCAATCTCCACGATCGGAGTCCTAGGGATATTATATCGCAGTCGCGTCGCTCTCAACCTTGGTGATGACAAAGTATCGTTTTCACAGTTGGTGCTTCGATTTGAGATCACTACCTGGTCGATATTGATGTAGCAACTGTAGGTTCAGAAGTCAGCTATGCTCAGGTAATACTGCCATTACAGCTATTGAAACACGACGCCTGGAATTGGTCTGGAGCCACTGACCGCCTTGAACTAGCGCGCTGCCAGTGCGAAAGGCCCCACGACGCTGGCCTGCGTCTCGGCCGCCGAATGTTTGTTCGCGTGGGGCGGATCTCACCGTTAGTGGGGGAAGCTCTTTGCGCTTTGCGCCTAGCATTGGACCCTTGACGTCAAAATTTCTGGCGAGATTTGGGGCGCCGACAGCGGGGAAAGTGAGAGCTATCGTCCAAGCTGGGAGCGCCGGTTCGGAAATTTTCTAGGTCTAATGCGCCGCCGAAGAATGTTCGGGGTGTCATGACTATTATTTCTTATCACGGCCTTGACCAGATCTTCAATTGACAGCTCCATCCTTTGTAGTCATATCCCGAATCCTCAAAGATCGCTGCTGTCAGCTTACAATTTTACACCGAGGGTCTACTCTCATCAATCCCAGTATCGCGCGGATCGATGACCAATACCAAGACAGCACCTCACAGACAGAGTTGAGCCTTAATTGTACCCATTCGCTGCCAGCAAGACGCGTTGTACCTTCCAACTCTTTCCGTCATCCAGCGCACTCGTAGCGGACCGACGGTTTCTGCCATGGTTGAATTTGCTGCCACCGAGGCCAAGAAGGCGACGCAGGACTCTTCAGTCAGTTCCAGTACTGGCGTGTCTGACATTGACGATGCTGTCAATGGCAGCGCCCAAATCCCCCTAGAAGGCGATCGAAAGTCAAAGAAGAAGAAGAGGAAGATCAGGTCTAAGGATGGCGGTGCCGACGAGTTCGAAGTCTCAAAGTCCCTGGCGAAGAGGAGGAATAGTCTGCACAAAGCAGCTCGAGATCCCCGTGATGAGCCCGAGGGAAAGCAGCGCAAGAAGCCCAAGGTTGAGGAAAGTATAACAAGATCGCCCAGTCCTGTGATCGACTTTGACGGATTGAGCCGACCAAGTAAGAGCCTCTTCACTCTTGTTCTTTATTCTGTTTGCTAACAAGCTTAGCCCGCGGGACGCGAGAGCGACTAGAAGAAAGTAGCGAACAAGCCGCCGAACGACTCGAAAAGATGCGCAATGCTGTGCGAACAATCCTCGAATGTGTCGGAGAGGATCCCGACCGAGAAGGTGTTTTGGACACTCCCACACGCTACGCCAAAGCTATGCTCTTCTTTACGAAGGGCTATCAGCAGAACGTGAAAGATATTGTCAACGATGCGATCTTTCACGAGGGCCACAATGAGATGGTAATTGTCAAGGATATTGAGATTTTTAGCCTTTGCGAGCACCATCTTGTTCCATTCACGGGAAAGGTAAATTGCCAGTTCTTGTATTAGCGAGGATCATTGACTAACTTGTACGCAGATGCATATTGGTTATATTCCGAATAACAACGTGATTGGTATCTCGAAACTTCCGCGCATTGCTGAACTCTTTGCCCGACGCCTTCAGGTTCAGGAGCGTCTAACCAGAGAGGTCGCCAATGCCATTATGGAGATCCTCAAGCCGCAAGGTGTCGCCGTGGTCATGGAATCCAGTCATCTGTGCATGGTTATGCGTGGAGTTGAGAAGACTACTGCAACCACTATAACAAGCTGTGTACTTGGCTGTTTTGAGCGCAAAGAAAAGACCAGAAATGAATTTTTGAGTCTCGTTGGAGTTAACCGCAGGTTCTAGCTGCGCAAACATTCGCTTTTATCATGTGCGAAGCATTTTGCTTTTGGAGTTTCTGGCGTTTGACATGGGATCTCAACATCTCCCTCACGGGCTTGGTTAAATGAAATGCATTTACGAGAAAAATGGATATAATATATATGGTCTCAACGCCGACCAAAAAAGAGGCAACTCAACGGCATACATGGGATGACAATCCCATTCAACATGTATAATTAAATGCAAAATACTGAGCATTTCTCCTCCAGCATACCTCTGAAATTGATTTTGAGACGGACACAGACATCTTGTCGCTGAACATCACTCAAGAATCAGCAAGCATCTTGTAGGCCTCTCACCCTAAAGGAAACAGGAAAGCGGTGGAGCTGGACACTGCGTGCGTGTCAATTGATCGATATCAAACGGGCCACCAGCTCAAGGGGAGCTTCTACTGAAAGTGATGGACATAAATCACTCGTGCAGTGAATACTCTGTGTCTTTCTTCAAATTCAGGCATGATAATGCCAGAGAGGAAGGTAGCATACTCTGGTAGTCATACTGGTAGTGCTATTTTACCACTTCTCCACATAGGGCCTGATATCAACTTCCCAAGTGAAGCCGGACCTATGCTGGGTGTGTAGGTTCCAATATGTCTCAGCAATCTGTGATGTGTTAGAGAGGCGGGACCGCTTTTTTATCCTTTTGAACGAACTCACAGAATCGGCACTGATCTTGCCATCCTCGGCTCCTCCATTGACATTGTAACTCTGCGTCCTGGGAATATCAATCACACCATCGACTACGGCGTGAGCGACATGGACGCCCTTGGGCTGATACTCGCGCGCAATGGATTGTGCAAGAGCTCTAGCGCCAGACTTTCCAGCAGCAAAACACGCAAATTTCGCTGATCCTTTGATGGACGCTGTGGCGCCTGTCACGATGAGAGTAGGCGGATACTTAG